GAGGCAGGGTCACTCGAGGGGTTAGGGTCTGGAATGTACTGTCTGAGGGTATGGGGGAGGCAGGTTTAGTTGAGGCTTTCAAAGGGCAATTTGGAGAAGTTTCAGCACAGGAAATATTTTGAATTCTGTGGGTGAGATTGACTCATTGAGTTGCTCTCACAGTCACATAGAGCAGTCAAAATGAGCGGACTGGCCTCTTCCTGTGCTGTAACCTTTCTCTGATTTTCCTGAGCATGGGGCGGCTCTGTGGTTAGCACTGCTGCCTCGGAGCACCAAGGACCTGGGTTCGATTCCACCCTCGGGGTGACTGTCTGTGTGGCGTTTGCAAATTCTCCCCGCGTCTGCGTGGGTTTCCTCCGGGTGCTCTGGTTTCCTCCCACAACGCAAAGATGTGCAGGGTAGGTGGATTGGCCATGCTAAATTGCCCATAGTGCCCAGGGATGTTTAGGTTAGGTGGGTTAGACATGGGAAATTAGGGGAATGGGTCTGGGTGGGATGCTTTTGAGGGTCGATGTGGATATGTTGGACTGAAGGACCTGTTTCCACACTGTAGGGAATCTATGATTGACTCTTAGTCAAGGAAAAGAGGAAAAATAAAGGTGAGGAGTGAGGTCATGACATTTTAGACTGAGAGTAACCAAAAGCAGGTGGTGAGCCCAGAAGGGAAGGGACAAGAAATCACACAGTTTATTCAAGTTGACAACATGTATGTCCAGGCTGTGTAAACTGAACTGCTCTCTGAAGCTGCTGTTCATGAGCACGTTGGTCGTTTCTGGGCTCCCAGCAGTTGCCTGAGATTCACTAAGAATTCCTTGTGATTGACAAGTCTCTCTGAGTGTCTGTAAGAGCATAAGGAGCAGGAGCAAGAGCAGGCCACTCCACCCTTTGTACTTACTCAATCATGGCTGACCTTCAGTTGCAGCACCATCCAAAGTAGGCATAGAGTGTGAGCAAAGTGACTGAAGTCACAACCAAACACAAAGGCGAGGAGAACTGAGAACGTTCCGGCCGTGGGCAATCTGTAAAAGCACAGAGACTCCAGGAACGATTGAGATGTTTAAGCTGAAAGAGAGAGAGAGAGACAAACTCCCCTCTGTTGGGGCTGGAATCCAGACGGGGTTTAGAAAAAACCTTCCGATTGGTGTTGGCCCATTCACTGTGTGACCGTTCCCAGCAAAGGGAATTGTGATCTGATCCTACTCACCCACTGAGCTGAAGGTGAGGGGTGACCAAGGCGCAGAATCAAACAGGATGCTAACACTACGGAACTGAGATACAGATCAGCCAAGATTCAACTGAATGGTGGAATTGGTCAGATGGGCTGAATGGCCTCTTCCTGTTCCTGGTGTAGTTGAGAGGAGATTGTTGAAGTCAGGTCGAGAGGGGGCCAGGGATGAATTTGTGAGTCGGTATCTCTTGAGAGGAGGGAGCTCACAGCATTTGTGAATTACTGAGAATGGGGATTATTTGTTTGAACAGATCATGACGGATGTGGTTGGGAATCCAGAGGACGAGCGACGAGCTGATTTTTATCAGCAACCGTGGTCACAGGAAGCTGTCAGCAGATACTTCTACTGCAAGGTAACTCTCCTCGAGGCAGCTTTACCACCACACTAACCCTCCCCAGCCCTTCCACAAAGAAATGAGACTCAACAGTCAGACCATGTGGTATTGAACCAATGGCTTGATGTCGGAGAGTCAGTGCTGAGGGAGTGGGCACTGGGGGAGGGTCAGTGCTGAGGGAGTGGGCACTGGGGGAGGGTCATTGCTGAGGGAGTGGGCACTGTCGGAGGGTCAGTGCTGAGGGAGTGCCACACTGTCAGAGGCTCAGTGCTGAGGGAGCGCCGCACTGTTGTGATCGATCATGGCCAATGTCTACAATCACGTGAATTAGGAGCAGGAGGAGGCCACTCTGCCCTTCCAGCCTGCTGCTCCATTAAGTATAATCCCACACTGATCTGATCAGACTCTGCTTCATTTTGCTGTTTGTCCTCCGTTAACCTTTCACTCCCTTGTCCTCCTGAGGGATCAGACTGCGAGGGGATGGTGGGGGAGGCTGAACCAAAGGGGCTTCCCATTTAAAGACGTTGAAGAGGTGGAATTTCATCTCTCATAGGGTCATCACAGATCAGACCTCAGTCCCCCAGAGAGCAGGACAGGCTGGGTCACTCAACAGGTTGGAGGCTGAGTGACAGAATTGCGAGAGGGTGAGCTCTCACTTTCCTAAGCTCCAATGAGATCTCCCCAGCACCAATATCAAATACCAGCACATTATCTCACTGATTGTGCAGAGCAAGATCCCACAGTAATACGCTGATGTGATTCTTACGATGCCCTCACTTACTCCATTGGTTGTGCAGCACTTGGATGTGACTGGTGCCTGTGATAGGCACTAGAGAAATGCAAGTTCTGTCATTTCTAATGAGTCTTCATTTCCTCGTTCAGATACAACAGCGGAGACAGGAACTGGAGCAAGCCATGGGAGTGCGCAACACCTAAAGCAATCTCTCGGACAATCATCACCACTGGAATAGACACGACACTGCCTCCCAGGACACTTACAAACAGGAGCCAGCCTCTGTCATTGGCCTCTTCCCAATTGCTTGCCGTGATCGTTTGGGTCTTGCACCTTCTCTTCCTCCCC